CTGCTGCCGAAGCTCACCGATATATTTTAGAAACTTATTTTGAATCTACTCCATCACTTAAAATGTATCAGTACTGGTATCGACGATTTAAAAAGAGGCGATTTTGATTTGAAAGACAAAGAAACGTTCAGATCAACCAAAAAGTAATGTGTATACACACACACACACACACACACACATTACTTTTTGGTTTTATATATATATATATATATATATATATATATATATATGCATATTTCTGGAGCGCATATTTCTTAAATTGGATATGCATATTTCTTAGGTAATTATTTTTGTACACGGGTGTCCAATTCTATCTGCACGCTTCTGGATTAAACGGTATGAGCAATAAATAAATGGGGAAACAAATATTCCCCGGTCAATATACTGACGCAGCAACCATTCCGGTTTTGCGTCAAACTATTCAAGTAGAAGGGAGAATAAAAGACTCTACAAGGAATCTCAGTAAGTCAGTATATGCCGCGCCGTGCATCACCAGCTTAACAAATCGATGTATTTCGATTAGACTTTGTCTTGCTAAACTGGTTGTCCTTCGAAAATTGTGCTTGTTAAAAGAGCGAAAAAGATAAAGGAACGAAAAAAAGCTAGAGATTAAATGAATTTGATGAATTGATGCAGGCGGCCAAAATTTGGAGAAGATAAGAAAATCTATTGTGTATTTGTGTGTATGTGTGTGCGTGTGTGTGTATATGTAAAAAACTAATTAAGAATCAATTCAAGGACAATTTAATAAAAATGATAGAACATTTTCCATTCGCAAAATTATTTCTTTTGACAATACTGTTCACAAATGTTTACGAGAATGCCGCTTATAAGCCTCCAGAGGCTAAGGTAGAGCCCCTTCATCCTATGGGATTACGCATATCTATTCCTGGTAAGATAAAATTCTAATTAAATAGTATATTTATGTAGGATATTTGGTATTTAACAAATAATTGAGCTAAAGCATTGTAGTATACAAAGTATTTCAAAATCGCGCCCGCGAAATACAAGATGTGATATTTTATGCTAAAAGAAACAACTTTTTTCTTTTGCAAAATTGTCAACAGGAAAAAGTTATTCGTTCTAGCAACAATTTTTTCCTTTAACAGAATTGCATTCGATAAGTTTTTGCAGGAGCGCAGATTGAAGTTAATAAATAAGCGCAAAAATTATTTATCGCAATTTTGTTAAAGGAAAAAATTGTCTGTTTTAGCATAAAGTATCATGTCTTGTATTTCGTGTGCGCGAATTTTGAAGCATCCTGTATGTAAATATAATTTTGCAAGTTTTTTGATATTAACAAAACAGAATTTGTAATTTAAATTACGATTGTTTTGTGACACTGCATATTATCTGTTCAGCAAATAAATTATAAAGTATTTAAGTAATGATAAAATTCTCGCATAGGGATAGAGCAGGATTAAACTGAATCGAAAAGTCCTTTTTTGCAATTTTCGCAATAGTTAACAAAATATTAATTAAAAATCTCTGAATATTGATTTTCAATAATTTTTTACTCAAATATTATCAACTTTATAGAAAAACAGCAAGAGACAAAAATTGTTTATTTTTTCCTCATAGAGCTCTAAGAATCTTTTTAGAATTTTTTATCAATTTTTTTATATTGCATTGTTTTATATAATATATGTGCGCGCGCGTGTGTGTATATATTGGTAACTATTTTTACAACATGACAAATGCGATAAAAATTCTGAAAAAATTCTTAGAACTCTATGAGAAGAAAATTAATAATTTTTGTCACTTGTTATTTTTCTGTAAAGTTGATAGTACTTGAGTAAAAAATTATTGAAAATCAATATTCGATGCGATTTTTAGTAATTAATAAATATTTTGTTAACTATTACGAAAATTGTAAAATGGTAGAGGACTTTCCGACTCAATTTAGCCTGCTCTATCTTTATGCGAGAGTTTTATTGTTACTCAAATACCCTGTATATTATAATCAAAATTGGAAGATTGCAATGGGAATAACATTTTTTTTCTATAGATGAACATGGAATTACATTGGTAGCTTTCCATATAAACATCAATGAGGATTTTGATGGTTTAGAAGCGGGACGTTTTGCAAAAGATATTCTCAAAATTCGAAATGGACGATGGACTTTCCAAGACAAGCAAGTTCAATTAAGACGAGATGATATTATCTATTATTGGATTCACGTTGTATATCAGGGTCTAGGATACAATCTGATTGATCAATCACATCGGGTTGTCGGTAAGTTTTTTATAAATATATACATTTTTCTATTTATATTTAATTACAAATAATTTATTTTTTTATTATGAACAAATCTCAACGCTAACAATGCAATATCTTATTATCATTTATTTATAATTTGTTTTATTTATTTATGTTTTAATTTGATTTGTTTGAAGAAACAATTATTAGATATGCAATTGTTTAAAATACCTTTTGTTTTATTTTCAGGTTTCTTCAACTCTGACGGCACTCAGTACATCGATATCACGACTCAAAGTCCACAGAGCTGCACGACGACATCGATTACATGGATATCTGAGAAAGGCGAACAACGACAAGTCTGTCCAGGTCAACTCATTTTTGAGGATAACTTTGATCATCTCGATAACACAAAATGGAATGAGTGGAAACGTTTTTCCGGTTCGCCGGTATGTATCATCGCGAATGCAGATAATAAGTTTATTTAAAAAACCGTTTTTCGTTTAAAATTATTATTTTCGCTATACAGAATCATGAATTTGTCATCTATATGACCAATGATGTAACAGATACGAGCGATGGATTGCTGCGCATTAAACCTGTTCTACTTGATACTAAATATGGCAATAACTTTGTATCGAATGGAAGAATAATACTGGAAGAGTATGCGAATAATTAGGGAATTAGGAAGACAGAAGATTAAAATTAAATATTTAATTATTTTCTTTTTTTAGTTGTACGGGCAGAATTGGTACAGATGATTGCCAACGTCAAGCTGCTGCTTCATACATCTTGCCTCCTTTGATCTCTGGACGAATTAGTACAGAAAGAAAATTTGAATTTCTCTTTGGGCGTGTCGAAATAAGAGCCAAATTGCCACATGGCGATTGGGTATTTCCTGGTAAGTTTGTAACTTTTTACTATCAATTTTTTTTACTTGAACTATTGTAAATATGTATTTTGTAGTGATAACATTGCATAATGCCGAAAATACATTGGACAATACATTGGAATCCAGATTGCATCGCGAGATTAGGATTGCATCCTCGATGGGCAACGAAGAATTAAGGACTCGCAGTGGTGAGACCATCAACAACCGCATATTAACTGCAGGTGGATTGATCGCGTCCTGGAATGAAAGTAACGCGGAAATGTTGTCCAAAAGGCGATCGAGCGAATCCTGGTCCAAAAATTTCCATATTTTCGAAATTGAATGGACGAATGGTCTTATTGTAGTGAAGGTCGATGGAGTGCAGTACGGGGAGCAAACCGTAGACATATCATTTGGCAAATCGGTATTGAAATTGTATTATATTTTTCTTTGTTAATAGAGACTTGTATCATTTGTTTTACTAAATCTCGTAACGATAAAAGTGTGATACCATTTATTGCAGTCATATTTGACTCTGGGTGTAGCCGTTGGAGGTCTTCACGAATTTGAGGATCACATCGTGAGTAATGGATATATCAAACCTTGGCGAAATGTCGAAGCAAAGGTATGTTATTACAATAATATTTAACATTAAATTTTTTTAAAATTTAAAGAGTTTGAGAAAGCTATTCCAAATAAGCTAAAGATTTTAACAAATGAATGCAATTATTATTCTTTACAGGCATTGTACAACTTCTATCGTGCGAGAGATAAGTGGTATCCTACATGGGATGCAACAACAGCGCTTGTAGTGGATTATGTGAAAGTGTGGGCATTGTAGATACTTTCGTCTGCATGAAAACGTACCAGCATAACACATATATTTTTACAATCTTAGATACATTCTATACGCGTGTTTTTCTTGCTAAATAATACGTTTATGATTTTTATCAATGACAACATTTTTTTTTTATTTGATTCATATGCATTATATACAAATAAATAATAACGCGCAGACTGATTTGTATTTGATGATTATTTTGTATTCTAGAGTTCTGGCTAATCTAAACGACTACTAATAAACTAATAAACTAATTTACTAGTAAATTTAAACTAACGTAATTCTACCGATTGTATTCGAATGCACTTGCGCTGCGGATTAAATTATTACTTCTAAAGGGAATTGGAGGAGGTATTAAGAACGTATTAGGCACATGTTGCCTATATAATAGAACATCGGGACTAAAACCGTTCCCCAATTGTTTAACAAGCCACTCTCCGCGATATCCGAAACGCCGTTGATATGTTTTTGCAGCGCGTGGTCCATCCTCGGGTCTGAACTCGATGTGCATGGGTTCCTCAGTATTGAAAGACGCAAGACGTAACAGACTCATAATACCATTCCTGGTCCATTCCTGGAGCTGCGGTCGACTGGGCCAGAATTTTGGAAAAATTGAAACATTGTTTCTGTTGCTGAACAATGCTTGCAGCCATGCGAAAAATGACGAATCAAATGTCCTGGCGTTTCGTATCAACATTCGATCACTGCACCATGCATTTGTCTATTTAAGATAACAATTTTCGTTTTTATTAACAAAAAATTTAATTGAATATTTACGTGAATTCTACTAATTCAATACATAATTAAACTAACATTTTTAACTGCAGGCTCGTTTAATAACAAGTAAAAATACAATTACAAGGTAAAATTAAAATGTATTTTAATTGAATCAGAGAAGCAAATAAATATTTATGTGCCTTTTCCTATGTATTTAATATAGATCACTTACCGCGTAAATGATGATCATTAAAAGTATTTTATCAACGTGCATGACTTGTCGAAATTGTGCTCATTGCAGAACTGCTGGAAAATAATGAACGACTGGGACTCCATTCGGATTTCGTCTGGCTTTTATTCTTCCGTTCGCATTAAGTATCAATTCATGAATAACCAATTGTCATTCACAAGAGGATCTAATGTGACTTTTTAAATTCTCGCGCGTCGTTAAGCGCGCGATCGAGTTTTTACTTTCACTGCCGGTATTACGATAACGAATATTTTCATGTATAAGTCGGATTACAGAATAAATTTCACAGAATAGAGTCATTCCGCGTCGATAGCGATACCATTCCTGGAGTGAACTGAGCCATGTGTAAACTGAGACATAATCAAATATTGGTTGGTTTAAAAAAATTATAGAAAAAGAATCAAGTGTAATCAAGTGATAAAAACTTTAGAGATCCTTGTAAACAAAAAAATGTTCATCACGAAGTATCTAAGATAACTTAATTTAGTGTTATATGTATTAATAAATTTTTATCAGTAGTAAAAAAAATTAATGTGTAATAATTCAAATATAATTAAATTCTTATTTATATTTGTGACGGTAATTTAATTTAAATTATTCGTTTTTGTAATAATCTTTACTCTATCTGTGCATTTTATTATAGATCATTATGCTGATGACATTATTACTTCATAGTGAAATTATTGTATCAGTCACAGACGCTACAGTCTACAGACTCCTGACTGAATTTCTTCAAAATAACGTTGCAGGCATACCTCTTGTGCATGAGGTAAATGTACATATATATAATATATATGAGACACAATTTTAGTTCACTTATTTTTCTTGCTTTATTTTTATCTAGAAAACGGAATGGAACTTTGATCCAGAGATTGGCAAGCAAAGAAGGATTCAATATGAGCAAGAAAACGGACGTTTTGGAGAATATGCGATAGCAAAATTAGGAATGGGCATCGGATATAAAGGTCCTTGGGGAGATCCAGTGAAAGGTTGAAACATTAAACTAGTAAGTAAATATATATTTTTTTAACATAACACATAGAAATTTTGTTGATGTGATGTATACTTGAGTCCGGCATAGTTTACTAAACTAAAAAAAAGCGAAACTTTTGATTGATTACAATATTTATAATTACAAATACTCTCACGAGACAATTTTTTAATTGCGTTATCAATATAACAATAAATGTGCATGAGATAATTAAAGAAAGATGATGTGTTTTCTTCTCTCATTTTATCACAAAATTTGACAAATGATCTCACCAAATTCATTTTGATTAAATATTTGCAATTAATTAAACTATGTGTATATATGTATATATATAAAATATATATTATATACATATAAATTAGTATTATATATCTCAATATGTTTTAATCAATAATATCGGTGCAATTAAAAATAATTAGAAGTTTAAAGAATATGATTTCTTCTCGATGTTTTAGCATTTTCTTAATTACACTTTAACACGTACATGCAATTTGCAATCAAGAAAATGTCACTTTCAGTGACACTTTAGTGAACCATTATCAATACTTTCAAAACGCATATTTTTCGGATATTGCGAAAATTTCACGGTCGACATTTCAGACGTAGCAATCAGTGTATGTGGCACAGCGTATCTCAGAACTTTCACTTTACAAGTGGAAAGAACTGAAAGTAGTAGGGGAACTAAGAAATTTAGACTGAGTTCTGAATCTAGAAGTTCAGCGTACAGCGATCAGTATTATCTTGTAATATTTGTTAAATTGATTAGTAATTGGTTAACAATAACGATTAATAATTGTTTTATCAAAAGAAACTTTAATTTTACACTATTTTCAAAATTTCTTACTATTACACAAGAAAACAAATTTCACATCTGGTCATTTATCATGGCGAGTTTTACCTCTGTAAGTAAGTAAGTAAGTAAGTAAGAAATGATAAGAAATAGCATTACTATAGACAGTGAGTGCAAAAAGTATTCGTACGAAAAAATATTTTTTAAAAAACTTTATTTTAAACAAATAAATATTATCCAACGAAAAATGAGTCATCGAATTGATGTCGAGTTGATATAAATACAATGATTTCAACATCAATTTGATTCGTTTAATTGATGATCATTTCTTGTTGGATAATTAATAATTCATAAAGAATAACATAGACTGTATGTTTCTTAAAATTATATATACCAAAAAGATGTGTATTAATTATACAAAATATATCTAAAAAATAAGCGAAAATTAAAAATTGTATTGTTTGAATGCTCAAAAAGTATTCGTAAAAGTAGACGAGAAATTTAGCTTTTAAAATCAGGAATACATGCGAAGCTCGTTTGTTTATATTAGAATGTATTCATTGTATAAAATCGCTAATTAATGTTTATTTTCTACAAATAAGACTTTTTTTATTACGAATTTCCTTGTACGAATACTTTTTGCTCTCACTGTAATTGCAAACATAATTCTTTTGCAATTTAATAAGTACAATTATTTTTCTATATCGAATAAATTGTTTGAAAATTTAATTATTAACAATAAAAATTAAATAAAAATTTAATTACTAACGTCATCTAGCGACTTTCTAATCGCTAAGTTTTAATGCATCGCTTCTCAGTTGAATTTCTCTTAGCAAGTATAGTCATTTTATAAAAAAAAATATACGTTATACATGAAAAATAAAGCAAATTTTTTTTTGTTTCATTATCATTATTTTATGAAATTTTATTCTCTATTTGCAGTGGCTAACGATGATAGCGTTAACAACAGTCGCTATCTTTTTTTTCACTCTAATCGATGAAAGTACAGCTATACTCGCGGAACCTCAAGCACCTAATTTTCAATATTTCGAACGGTAAGCAAACATTTCGATAAAGAATAAAAAGTTGGAAAAAATTAATAAATTATTTCAGTATTAAAATATCTGTTTCGATTGTTTTTGTTATTATGCACAACTTCCTAAGAAAGTCTCTTGACTGAAAAGTGATCTTTACTTTTTTAGACCAAAATATCGCTATCCTTACTATGATGAAAATGGTAAAGGAAAACTGCTCTACGGCTATGGTGGACCGGAATTGTATCAATATAAAACTTATAGTGTTCTTGAAGGAATTCATTAAATGATCATTTTGTTTAAATTCTTAGAAAATTGAATATAAAATATCTGTATACATATAACGTAACATATATGGACATGGTGTGATTAATTCATTAATATACTCATGAAACATTAATTCAAATATATCTATATAATGTAATACACGAGTATCTTTTCGATGGCACAATTGAATTATGTTACTCGAATATAAATTAGCTATTATGCTATTTGAGGAAATAGTACATTCGTTGTTGGTGCAATTTGCATTATATTATCTTGCTATCGAAAGGATACGTTCGCAATCGTGAAATTAATAAGGAACATTATAAGAGCATTTATTTTCGCCGATTACAACTGTATAATAAATGCAATCGATTGTGTATGGCTGGTTTTAATTACAATGTGTTTACCTCTGTCTTATTTTTTACTCGGTAAAATGCTGCATGATTCGTTTCTCCTTTAACGTGAATTGACTGACAATAAAGGAACAATGATAAAATCGATACTTGTTACTGTGTTTAAAAACTGTTACAATATTTAGAAAAAGTGTAAGATAGAATGATTCAGTGCAAACATTGCTTTGGACTGCAGTCTCTAAGACTATATTACAGACAGAATATATCATTAAGTCATTGATCTATCAAACGTGCATGGAATGTGCAGTAGCCACGCTATTATCTATGAAATGGTGACTTATAGTCTCTTTGTAGATACAATAATCAAATATAGTCTAAAATAGCTACAGCCTATATAACCTATTACATTGGTATCGAAATGTTTTTTTTTGTCCTTTTTCTTTTCTACGTGCACAATGTACTAGGAAAAATAGAATCGATAATTTGTAAATGGTAAAAAAACTGCAGTCACACTGCGCAATCGATACATTACAACTGTCATTGAAAAGATATTATTCTTCTATTTTATGATAGAGGTGCACATGTGACGAAGTTACGAACGTGTGCAAGCACAGTCGAGTAGATGTGAATTAGCGAGACGTAATATGTCAATTATAAACGAACGCGATCGACTGCATATTGATGTCGAGCGATAATTGATGCGCTTATTCGTTATGATCTTTGTCCGCCTTGCTCTCGCCGGCAGACTGTAACTGTCATACAAAGTCCATTTCGAACTTGTTATAATACTGGCCATTGACGCGACGTCTCTGCAGTTGTCTTTCAATGAACTTCTTTATCTCACTAATGACAAAGACACTCGATGTCAACGCCGCCAAGAATAGAAGATCTAAAAATTAAAAATAAATATGTTATACAAGAAATATACACAAACTATTTTTAATGATATCTCTAGTACGATACCTTTTGCAGTAAGAGCTTCAGTTTGAAATATTCTCTGCAATGGAGGGAAGTAGATCACAAGCATTTGTCCGATGACAGAGAGCGTTACTGCTACCAGGAACATTTTATTACTCCACAAACCAATTGTGAATATGGATTTCGTCTGAAATAAACGGATGTTTTCAGGCTGTAGTAATATTTTTTCTTGATATAATAAGACATGAAATAAAAATATGAAATCTCACTTGTGATCTACAGCTAAGAGCATTGAACATGTCAAAGAATACGAAGCAAGTGAATGTCATGGTAGTATCTCTCGCGGTATTCCCATTAACCATCTGGAAATTAAACATATACATATACAATCAATAATTTTGCGTGTGTATGTGTGTGTGTATGTGTCTGCGTGTGCATAGACTGATTTAAAAACATTACCTCTCTATTGTATACCCATAAAGTACCAAGAATAATGATGCTAGCGGATAATAAGACGTTAATTATGAGATGACGCGTGATCATTGGTTCCTTTGTATTTCGTGGTTTTTGCTTCAAAACATCTTTGTCAACCGGTTCTACTCCAAGACTATATACAGAAGAAAATTGAACATACTGTGTGTAGTAAATATTTAATAAAACGTTAAATTAAAAGTATTTATTTAACTCACCTTTGAGCAGGTGGCCCATCCATAATGATGTTGATCCATAATATTTGCATAGCATTCAAAGGATTCGGTATACTCATCAATGTTGCAAGAGCAATCAGAGAAAGCGCAGCTATGCTAGTACTCAATTGAAACCTGACAAAATTGCGAATGTTGTGAAAGATTCCCTTTCCCTCTTCGATTGCCGCGCTAAAACAAAAATCATATAATAGATAAAGAATATAGTCACAAATTCACATAAATTGAAATAAAATTTCAATTAAAATTGTTAGCAAATATATTAGTTACATAATAGTTCCAAAATCGTCGTCAACCAAGATCATGTCGGCCGCTTCTTTGCATACATCAGTGCCATTTTTACCCATGGCGATGCCTATATCGGCCTTTTTTAATGCAACTCCATCGTTTACGCCGTCACCGGTCATACCTACTATGTTACCATTCCTCTGTAAGGCCTTTACAATACATAGTTTGTGCTTTGGTGTTACTCGATAAAATACACTAACACTATTAATGCACTGTTCCAATTCATGTTCGGACATCATATCGATCTCGTCTCCCGAAAGCAATCGACTATGAAGTGTGTCCAAACCAATCATGCTAGCTAAAAAATTATTAAATTTTTATAACTTTATAATCATAAAAAATTATATCTATTGTATTAAAAAAATGTAAACTTTTTACATATGATATACTATTTATTTATATACCTATTGCAGCTGCAGTTTCCTTAGCATCACCAGTCACCATCTTCACTTTAACGCCACTGTTTATTAAAATGCTGATAGATTCGCGCACATACGGTCTTGGTGGGTCGCAAATACCAACCAAGCCAATATAAATTAAATCTTGTAACGAAGAACCACGTGCCAAACCAATCACTGTATATATAAATAACCAAATTGGTAATTACAAAAAAATATAATTCTTAAATTTATTATTCATTTATTATAGTTTGTGAAAAAAATAATAATACCTCTCAATCCTTGTTGACCAATATCATATGCTTCTGTCAAGAATTCCTGATCTTTCTTTTGACTAAGAGGATACACTTGACCGTTCTCGTAATATTTTGTACATTGTGGTAAGATTTTTTCCAAAGCACCTTTCACAAAGTATATTTCCTGTCTATTCTGAAATATAGAATTATAGCATATATATTTAATATTCCAACATAAAAATCTATAACTAAGAATAATGTAATCCTTTGCTTCATTTAATAATAACAAATAATAACTAAAGATAATACGGCCCTTTGCTTGATTTAAATTTACCTCGCCAAACTTGGGTGTACATTTCACAGCCATCATTTTTTGCTCAGAAGAAAATGGATATTCTTGCAATCGCAAATATCTATCAGCGACACCATACATTCCGAATTTCATTGCCACTGCTATCAGTGCGCCTTCCGTTGGTTGTCCCAACAGAATGTCATTTTGTATGATAGCGTTGTTACAAACGCAACCTATTTCCAGCATGTTACTGATAGCAGCATGTGCGAGATCAGGATTATCACACTTCCGTATGTGTATTTCTCCCACCCCGTTATATCCTGCTCCCGTAACATCCGCGATGTAACCCTCCGATGTAACGAGAATCGTAGCGGTCATCTCGTTCTTTGTAATTGTGCCGGTTTTATCAGAACATATTACATTTACGCAGCCTAAAAAGAAAATAAACTCTCTTCTTACGTTTGAAGTTTTAGATAAGAGATCAGAAAAATAAAATATTTTGATAGATAAATTAAATCAATAAGAAAAATAACTTGAATAAAATAAATATTTCATATTTTTGTTAACCTACCGAGAGTCTCAACGGTTGGTAACTTCTTTACAATAGCTTTTCTCTTAACCATTCTCATCACTCCCAATGCCAGTGTCACAGTCACGACGATAGGTAAGCCTTCCGGTATAGCCGCTACTGCCAAGCTTACACCAATGGTAAACATCTCAAGGATAGCCTTACCTTGGATCCAGCCCAGCAGCATAATGATACCGATAATGCAGAATGAATAGAAGGACAGCTGAGTACCTAAAATGTCCATGCTTCGCTGTAGCGGAGTCTTTGGTGCCTCCTCAGCCTGCATCATCGAGAAAACCTCCCCAAATTCACTCTTTTCTCCCGTATTCACTACAATTCCCTGTATCGCGCGATATTATAACATAAGTTGATAGTAAAGCGCAACCATTCTCAAGAATTTTAAATATAGTTTGAATAGAATCTACCTTGCCATTCCCGCATCGTACTAAAGTGCCCATGAAGGCGATATTTCTCTTTGACGTCAATCCATTAGTCTTAAGCAAAGGGGCTGTCGACTTTTGCGCCGGTTCGGTCTCTCCAGTAAAGCTACTCTCATCAATCGCCAGATCTATAGCTTCAAATATTCTGATATCGGCAGGTACTCTATCTCCAATATTTAAATATACTATATCACCAGGAACTAAATTACGTGCAAGAAATGTCTCTACACGGCTCTCTCTTAAACTGGAAACAAAATATCAGGATATAATAGTAATGTAAAAGTATCTTAACAATTAAGTAAAATCAAGAAAATTAAAAAAAAATGTTAACAAAGTAAAAATTTGATAAAAAATGTTTTGACAATTATTCTTAGTTGGGATTTCTTTAATTTAAGTATGGAGGACTTTACGAAATTTCATAGAAGTAAGTTTCACCTTCTATAGAGTGCAACGACATATTATATCTTCTTCACTAAGAAGGGAAAGGAATGCTGCACGTATAAAGGATTAGTATATCCTCCAAGGACCATACTTCTAAAGAATTGTAAATTTAGATACATGCTGCCCCAACATTGAACTAATATTCATCATTATTATATAGTGTGATTAACGAGGCATTTAATAAAAAGCATAAATTTATTTACCAGTGGCATATTGGTGGTACCAATTTATTCAATTCTTCTAAAGATTTCTCCGATCGATATTCTTGTACAAATGCAACTGTCACCACTATTATGATAGCCTACAAAAAAACAAATTACATACATAAGTATCAATTAGGTAATGCTTACTAAAATTCATGAGATCAATGGACATGTGTAAGTCTACTTACTACAGTAATACTGACAGCGTCGTCGAATTGCTTCATACATACACTGACAAATGCAGAGGCAAGTAGAAGAAGAATTAATGGATTCTTGAACTGAAAAAAGAATATAAATTCAATTGAGACCGTGTACAAATATAATTAAATTGTATTATACATTGTTACTAATATCTGTATGAGACCTGTTCGATATATTTTTTCCATGGTGGATCTTCTTCCTTTACAGTGAACTCATTGAAACCTGTTAGTTGCCTTCTATGATCAGCCTCTTGCCACCTGAGTCCTGTTCGTACATCCACG